AGTAAGTTTTGTTGACTTCTTTCTCGCACAATAGACAGAACATACGCTAATGCTTACAGAATACATGGAACATTACTATCAAACATAACCAAACATGATCAATATAAGATTATACTTTTTGGCTACAAAAGGACAAATTTGTGAACGCTCGTTATAGAATGATGAAATTGTATGGCAATGCATGCTTATCTAAAACAAACAATAATACAGAATGTCAAAGTGCAAGTTTACTGGGAAGATGATTCAAAATGGATCAATAATTTTGAACAAATCGTCTTCCCGATGATATGTTGATCTCCCAGTTGATGATATGATTAATCCATGAAAGGTGCATATAATGACAATTTCTGTTATAGCAAGATCCGAAAGAAACTGTATCAAGGACATATGAGGAGACATACGAGACAATTATTTTAATAGTGATTGCAATTTTGTTAAACTAAAGTTATCTATCAGATTCTATAGCCCTTCAATGGAAGCATTTTAATCATGCAATTTAGGAAAATGCATTTCATAAACTTAACTTGAGCAAAATATTCTTGTCCAAGAACAATTCAGATGTTCCATGATAGTTGAAGATCTGTGCTTTAGAACACACCTAGCAACTTAAAAAACTTGCATTGAAAGAAATGTTTAATAAAACAAATAAATACTGAGTACTGAGGGTTTTTTTGTTTTGTTTTTGTAAATTTTGATTAAGGTCAGACACACTTTTCATTATCAACAGTAAAGACTCCTATAAATAAGTGGAGACAAAAAATTATTTTGGTATATTGCGTGTAGCTCTTTTTAAGGATGGAAATGTTTTCCATGTTAACCTAATTAAAAAAATTCTCATGTGTAATGTTTGGTTTTAAAACAATGTGACATTTTATATCCCCCAGTCTCTAACTGCATTTCAACAGTTTTAACTTAAAAAAGTTTTACAATAACTTCACTTTCTTTTCTTACTATATTATAATGGGCTAATCTTTGGAATATGGTAACAGGTAGTATGGCGACATTTTGGTAAGGCGATAAAGGTTACTAGCTAGGACTTTAACAGTGTACATGGATAAAGTCAAGAGTGTGCACAATGCCATTTTTGTGCAATTCTGGGATGTTTTTTTTTGTGAAAATAGGTCGACGTACGTGTACATGGATGATACCGTGTATGTGCAATTCTTAAAGACGCGGCAAGCAGTGGGCGATTCTGCACTTTCTCCCAATTTCGCACCTAATCTTCGTCATGATTAAGCACTTATGTTGAATAAAAGTTCTAGCATAAGTGTAATTCGGTTAGCAGATTGTTGGAAAAAAATGTTGAGTTAAAAAAAAAAAAGCCTTTACTTCGTGACAACAAAATGGCATTAAAAAAAAAAAAAAAAAAAAAAAAACTAGCAGGTTGCTGTAGCAGGGTTGGTTGCCAAATTTTCACCAAAAAATCGCCAAGTTACCATAATCCGAAGATTAACCTTATAATGAAATATTAAAAATGATTTGCAAAAGTATACATGTAGATAAGTATTAAATGATTGACTGGCATAATGATCCTATATTTGTTAGGGTGAGCATACTCATTTATATAAAACAATAAAATTTTTCATATGGCTTTAAGATGCTCGAAAACTTTGCAGTAACTACAAATTACAGTAATAAACCAAAGCCGAAAGCTCCTAAACTTTTGCTCCATCTTTTTTGTCACAAAAAATCATTACAGCATAACTAAATATCAAGATATCTGATATTAGGTACCATAAAACACAAAGAAAATAAAATATCTGCTCTGGGATAAATTTTTCAGCAAAAAATTCCGATTTTATTTTGAAAAAATTAAATCTAAGTAAATATACTATATAGAGAGATAAGCATTTTAAGCTATATAGTTTATTTCCAAAAATAAAATCATATAATCAGGCCTGCACCATCAGTAAGGTTGTTTGGCAGAAAACGGCGCTGACTCAAAAAGACACCACGCTCTATCCTTTTAAAAAATTCCAAATGGAAAAAAAAAAGGAATTTTGTTATATCTATGGTTATAATGAAATTATAATACTCATTAAAACAAGCAGTTCGTCTCGCTACTAGTGCAAAAAGGAAAATTTCTTGTCTTGTTTGAATGTGTCTAAACAGGAAAACACGTTATGCCGACGTATGAGGTGAGACATGGTTGACAAATTTCTTATTCCTTATTTTGTATCTACTGTTAACTGATTCAGCTGTAATAAATTGTGCAATATTTGTCTTCCTCATGTTTTTTTTTTTTTTTTTTTTTTTTTTTTTTTAAGTGATTAACTGTTAGTTACAAAAAGTCCCTATCATATGCTTGGGGCAGCGCTTCCCAGACGTAAACTCATCTAGAAGTCAGAAACAGTGTTAAAGAAGACTCATCCGACCAAATGACAGTCTTTCATTGCTCTACAGGAGGGTTTCTTAAACAGTGGGTGCGACTCTGCAGCAGGGGGTCACCAAAAATTTTAGCAATTTTGATATTTCTTTAAATTATTATAATAATTTAAATAAATATTTGGTAATCGTTAAATTATTAATATTTTTACACAATGTATCTGAAAATAGATAAAGATACGACAACACAAAGAAAAAAATGAAAACGTTTCGATACATTCTTTTTATAAAATACACATTCATTTTCCTTTGCACGTCAATCTGTCATTTCATCTGTTACTTATTTAAAATTTTCACATTTGTTCTATGTCCTAAAATTAGAAATTAAAGTGAATGACCTAAAACTGCAATAGTATATTACAGTACAAGTTAAAAAATTGACATTTTCACTCATGCGTGTACTGGATTTGCACAACACTTATGCGGTCACTTATGCACAACACTTATGCCGTCCCGCAAAATTTTTGTAAATATTATGGGGTCCTGGGGATCGTGAAAAAAATGACAATGATAAAATAGGGTCACGATTGAAAAATGTTTAAGAAACCCTGCTCTACAGTCTAGATTTCATGACTTTGGCACCATTTTTTCATCTTACAGGCATTTTGATCACTGATAAGTGGCTTTTGAATTGTAGTTTGCCCCAAAATACCCTGCTTGTAGATTTATTTATATTTATTTCTATTTTATGCTCTTATTTTTCCTCATAATTCTCTTCAATGATCATCTGTTATGATCACTCAACATACATTTTTCATCTGCACTGTGATTTAGCGGACGCAGTTTTTCCTATTTTCCTGTACGAGTTAAAAATCTTAGATACTGTGCCTCTGGAAACACCAAACACCTTGGTTACAGAAGAATCCACCATACAAGCCCCAACAATTTGCCCACATTCAAATTAATTTAGTTCCGACATAATGCACACAGCACTGTCTCAATAATGAATGACACTTGCAACACATTGAGAATGTTGTAGAGTACATCAACCAGTACATCAATGCCACCAACAGCATTTACGAGAATAAACATTTCAGTTCAAATATGCATATTACGAGATGCTTCCATATTTTTGTCCAACTCCTGTACATCAGAAAAAAATAAATAAATTATGTAAAGCTTAATTTATTTTTTTTTAGTGCAGAAAAGAAATGATTTGAGCATAACTACTCAAAATATGTTCTTCTCTTTTCTTTACATTAATTACTTTGGAGAATGTATTGGGGTTTTTAATGAAAGTTTCCCGCTGTCGCAAATATCATCTGCACAAACAGTATGCATTGCCGTGTTTAATCATATTTTTTCAAACAATTTTTGGCATTTTAAAGAAAGAGACTTGCTTTAGAACTGTGGAGGTTCGATACTGAAAGTTTAAAAACAAGGATTATTACATTCAAGAAACAAAGTGCTCTGGCTGGCTTACTGATGTTGATGATGACTGCCTGCGACAATCCGTGGAAGAAGTTTAGTAAGCAATCACTTGAGAGCTTGCTAAGTAGTTAGTGCCATAGCCATTAGTCACATTATGCATCACACAAACTTGACATACTAGTTCAATCGTTGGGTGCCGCTTGAGCCGACTCAAGCAGCTAAAGATAGACATTGTTCGGGTCTGCATCAACCTGCTCAAATATCAACACAAGGCCAAAATTCTGGATGGGACGTGATGAAAAGTGGATCAACGCAGGCCGAAAAGGGGGTTGGTCTGTGCCTGGTGAGTTCATTGGGAGGGTTGCAAAGTGCAATTTCACTAACAAAAAGGATCATGCTTCGTATCTGGGTCATTTGATTGCTCCCCTGGCAGTCACTTATTGTACTGGCAGGAATCTGCACTCTGACAATCTTGATACCGTGGGAGATGGAGGGGATAAAAACACAAGCCTGGTGGTTCCCGGGGTGCCATGGATGGAAGGTTATATGCCCAAAAACAATTGTAATGAATGACTAGTAATTTAAGTGGCCTCAGATATGACAATATGTTGATGACAATAGTTCAAACATGATATGTATATAGTGCGTATATATGAGATGCGTATAGTCCATATAAAACTCACTCTGATAAAAGACTTTTCACATTTGAATTGATGAGAAACCAAAAGTATTCTTCTCGTATAATGCCAGAGAAAATTAAAATATGTGTTATAAATAAATTGCTTTTAATATCAATGTTAAAATTTTTATAATTGTATGTGGCAGCAAGATAAAATTTGTGACAGCTTTATTTACAAAATGTGGAAATTTTTAAAGAATGGCATTGAAATTTTTAAAGATTGACATTTGGAAAGACATTTTCCACGACATTATCCTGAAGCAAGACACTGAAATGTAGGATTATTCCACAATATCCATGTCTGATTACTTTACAAAAAAAAAAAAAAAAAATTACTGGAGTGTTTAGAACTACATACATATAATATGATGGAATACTTAAGTTTGTTTTTAATCAGATAACCATATTTTTCAAACTGTTTTTTAAACTTTCAAAAGGCAGAAATCAAACATAATTACAATAATAATTCTCATAATACCCATTAAAAAAATTTAAAAATCACATATTATTTTAAAATAACTAATCAATGATTATTTTCTTTCACAATTTTTTATGATGTCTTTACCTGTGCTTCTCTTGTAGCCAATTCAGGATCCCCATCATCATCTGATAAAGATGATTCATTCAAAGCACTGAATTTCATCTGTAAAAGAAGAAATATATAAAAGCTTGTGATAGGAAGTAATCTTTTTAAATAGATAATAAGTATACTGAACTAAAAGGGCATGCAATAAAATAATAAACTTGTTTTAATGGTTCATCTAGCAGTCAAAGTAGAAGTTTCACTATACCTTTATTTTCATAAATTGAAACAACTTTATTTTCCATTATAAGAAATTAGCTAATAACAATATATACATATTTAACCTCACTAAATAGTCCTTTTAATTTAGCTATGTCCTCTTCTTATCTTAAAACTACTAATATATGCAACTAAAGTGCGTAATCTGAAAATAATCTGCATTGTCTGAAAATCACTATGTAAGAGCAGCACTGCAAAGATTTTTTTATCTAATCACAGTTAAAAATTTAAAGAAATCAACTCTATAAATATCTCTTTGCTAAAATGTGCACTTTCTAACTTGCTCTCTTCTCCCTCTGCTGGTCATCAAATAAGGGATGTCTAGAGTTTCATGCAGTTGACAACAAGTAGCACTCTTCACCTGCCACTCATGTTTATATAGACGGCGACTGCGCAGAAGAAAGCATTTTGTGCTTCGTGTACGAGTGTGAAACAACTATTCAGCATGATTTTCACGGGCAATATCCTAGCGTTCAACAACCTACTGCTCGACTCATTAGACAGCCCACTCCAAGATACAGGTTGTGTGTGTAAAAGGAAACCACATGGCCATCCCCACATGTCAGATGAAAATGTGGAGTGCATATGACAGCATTTCACATGCAATCCACAGAAACCTTTAATTTGCTTTGTCAAAAAGCTTTATGTAATTTAGCCATGTAATATAAAATTAATCATAAATTTCTATGTTCAATATGTTTTACAAAAAACAGATTCCAGATGGGGTGATTCTTTTAGAAACACTCTGTGTATAGTTTCTAGTTAATTGCATAACAGAATTTCATACATGAAATCACACATTGAGTTAAATGTTGATATGAATAAAGGTTAAATCCGATATAGGAAATTACATAAATTATTTTGAAAAATTATATGTTAAGAATATCCGTAACAATTTCAAATGTATATAAATTTCTCACATGTATTAAAAATCATTGACAAAAGGCACTTTCATGCCATTGTTAGGATAATGATTAAATCACTTAAAATTATGAAAGGATTGAATTTTTAATTTTATAAAGTTTCTCAAACAGGGAAAGTATTTAAAAAAATTATTACACCAAGAAATAATTATTGTAAGAAATTTAAATAAAGAAAAATATTTTTTGCACACTCTTACTTTTTCATGTTCATGAAAATTGAATGCAAAATGTCATAAAATCACTAGATATTCTGAATTCATACATTTCTTCCCACTACTGCCTCATTTTAAGTTCAAATTTTCCCTTTAAAACTTTACGGAAGAGTGTGCAAGTTTTAACTGTCAATAAATTACGTTAAAAAATTTTGACTTCTCCAATTAGAAATTAACTTGCCAAGTTAGAAATCCGATATGAAAGAAAGTAATTTTTAAATGAATTGTAGAACATTGCACATTCCTATGGCTATGATGAAAGGTTTTTTATTTCATTAGTTTTATTTTAATTATGGCAAAGCACACTAGGCCTAAGGGGAGGGATGCCTTCGTGGAGGACTTTCTAAGGGAAACTGGCTCGTATACGTGTTACACATGGGAAAAACCACGAAAATGCCCACTGCGCATTTATCATTTGAAAGGCTGTTTACATTTTTTTCGTGTTAACGCTATAGTTACGCTCGAGCCCACTACCAAAATGAAAAAACAGTTGGTTCTGCATTCTATCTCTGTGCTATCATTTCATCCATTATAAACAGGTTTTTATTCTTCACTTTCAGCAAAGTTGATTAACATCTGAGTGGGGCAGAAATTGGCGATGGTTGTAACGCCATTTATTAGTGATGCTGTCAAATTCTCATTATGAGTATTATTTGGTTTAACCTCAATAATAATGTAGTTTTTTTAATTTTCATATTTTTTCCTTTGCATATGCCTAATGATCTACCATGATGCAAAATTTCAAGTATCCAAGTCATTTAGAAGTGGTCTAGATTTTTTATGAGCAAGTCAGTCAGTGAATGGTAAAAATAACACGTTTCAGACTTTAATAATTCCATAACTATAAGAGGTAGATTAATGAAATTTGGGATCCTAGGTGCTTAAGAGAGCTCTATTAGACATACAAAATTGCAAGTTTGTACGTCTAATTCCTTTTTAGAAATGGGAGGTCAAAAGTAGCTTGAAATGGTACATGTAACCATGTACACAGGCATACAGATGGCCCATGTCTTGCTGTTTTCTTTTCCATCTGTACTGAGCTTGGCTGACACACTGCCGTGTGTCTAAATTTTAGAGCAAAAATTTTTTTAAAAAAATTTGGCTAATCTTTGGAATATGGTAACAGGCAGTTTAGCGACATTTTGGTAGGCGATAAAGGTTACTACCTAGGAATTTGGCAATAATGCGAGAAGTACCCAGTTCCAATTACGGATTATTTTGTCTGAGAGAAATGAGAGATCATGAGATATGTCATGTGACATATATGGACGAATCACAGTTCTTTAATCGGAAAAGGGGGTAAATCTGGAAGAATATCTGCAGTACTTTATAGCATTTTGTATTTAGCTTCATTCTGTGTTGTGTGAAACAGTGTTGGTTAATTTTATGATCCCATGGCCCTATCTAAAGTGAATTCGAAATGGGTATTTAGTGGGATTGAAAGGGGTTTTAACGTTTGCGTTATAAATTCGCAGGTGATGTTTATAATAGATAATTTAGACAGCAAAGTTTTTGGATATTTTATTTATTTTATACGTGCAAATGTTCATCCTTGGAAAGGGTATATGCAAGCTGAAGGTATAAAAGCTTGCATAGTATACATACTTTTTTGCGATCAGGTAATTTCATATATGTCCTTTTTACTGACTTTAAAGATTCACAAAATTTTCTAATTTATGAGAAAAAAGTAGTGTATATGGATAAAGTCAAGAGTGTGCGCAATGCCATTTTTGTGCAATTCTGGGATGCTTTTTTAAGTGAAAATAGGTTGATGTGTACATGGTTACCGTGTATGTGCCATTCTTAAAAACGCGGCAAGGAGTTTGCGATTCTAAACTTTCTTTTAATTTAATTATATTTTAATTAAATGATAGTTATTTTGTGAATTATATGTTTGTAGCATTTTTGGAATACGTTTCAGTAGAAGTAAATGTGCATGGAAATAATTTAAATATTTGACACTAAGTATTTGCAACCATTTTTAATGTTTGCGTGGCTAATCTTTGGAATATGGTAACAGGCAGTTTGGCGACATTTTGGTATGGCGATAAAGGTTACTAGCTAGGACTTTACCAGTGTACATGGATAAAGTCAAGAGTGTGCGCAATGCCATTTTTGTGCAATTCTGGGATGTTTTTTTTAAGTGAAAATAGGCCGACATGTACATGGATACCGTGTATGTGCAATTCTTAAAAACGCGGCAAGCAGTGGGCAATTCTGCACTTTCTCCCAATTTTGCACCTAATCTTCGTCATGATTAAGCACTTTTGTTCCATAAAAGTTCTAGTATAAGCGTAATTCGGTTAGCAAACTGTTGGAAAAAAAGTTGAGATAAAAAAAAAAAAAAAAAAATGTGTTTACTTTTACTTCGTAAAACAAAATGGCGTCAAAAAAAAAAAAAAAAAAAAAAACTAGCAGATTGCTGTAGCAGGATTTGTCACCAAATTTTCGCCAAGTTACCATAATCCAAAGATTAAACGTTTGCGTTATAAATTCATAGGTGACGTTTATAATAGATAATTTAGAGGGAAAAGTTTTTGGGTATTTTATTTATTTTATACGTGCAAATGTTCATCCTTGGAAAGGGTATATACTTTTTCACGATCAGGTAATTTCATATATGTCCTTTTTACCCACTTTAAAGTTTCACAAAATGTTCCTGCATTTTCATGCAAATTTTTCTAATTTATGAGAAAAAAGCAGTGTACATGGATAAAGTCAAGAGTGTCAGCAATGCCATTTTTGTGCAATTCTGGGATGTTTTTCTAAGTAAAAATAGGTCGACGTGTACATGGTTACCGTGTATGTGCCATTCTGAAAAACGCGGCAAATGAATTTGCGATTCTGCACTTTCTCCCAATTTTGCAGTTAATATTCGTCATGATTAAGCACTGTTGTTCCATAAAATTTCTAGCATAAGCCTAATTCGGCCAGCAGAATGTTGGAAAAAATGTTGAGTAAATAAAAAAAAAAAAGAAACCTGTGTTTACTTAGTGAAGAAAAAATGGCATCGAAAAAAAAAAGTAGAAGGTTGCTGTAGCAGGGTTGGTTGCCAAATTTTCGCCAAGTTACCATAATCCAAAGATTAACCAAAAAATCTTTTATTTTACATACAAGACAAAATTATTTTATTCACATAAGAATAAATTTACAATTTTATATAATCGTAATTGCAATTAAAGGATTAGAGTCAGCATAAAAAATTGGCTTTACTTCATCCTAAATTATCCACATACCAAAATAATATAGAGAAAATAATAAATCATTGCTACTTACACAATTGATCTGATTTTTATGTTAAAATGCCTTCATGCATTTAAAACGTTACACTAAATTATGAAATCGAAAATAATGAATTTAGTGATGATTTCAAGATTTGGATCTCCTCATATACCATGCTACTACAGAGTTAATTTCACACAAATAAGACACTGCTCATTTATATCAGTAAATTCTCGTATGGTAATGTAAGTCAATCAACTGATTACGCTCAAATGTAAACCAAAATACGACGAGTACTAATTTAATACACAATTTCTTTTTCATTAGTATTCTCTCGTCTTACAAAGATATTTGATGTTCTAAGAAACTGCCTCACCATTTTAATTGCACGATAAATTAGTAAATTATGTTTACATACTAGTTAAACTGTAAAATGAGGGGAAGATGGGGGGAAAGGAGCGTTTTAAAAATGCTTTTGATTTTACCGGTTTGATAGTTTAATTAAAAAATGAAATAAATAAGTTCCTTCTCACCATTTTTGAAAGATGAAAAGTAACTTCGCTGCCTTGATTACACGATTAAATATCTATATTTTCTAAATAAGTATTGAACGCTTTTGGTCTTAACGCTCCACATCTCGCACCAATTCCCACACAACCTTTAAAAAAAACGATAGTTTGAGTTTGACAACAGCCACCGCGTGAAACGAATTTAGTACTTTCACTTCATTTCGATTTAGTTCGCTCTTCTCTTTAAAGGGGGAATATTCGTTTACTTTCATGTTTTATTAATGTTCCTTGTTGCAAATATACTCTACGTTCACATCTACGAGATAATTAAATCTAATAACTCTTTTTTATTTCAAAGAAGTTTTCACTTAGAGGATGATAAAAATCAGAGTAATAATAAATAAATATAAATGAATAAAAGATTTGACGAATGGGTTTTCTCTGTTCGCAACTACAACTTCGGCTTAAATGTGTCAATACTCACTTTTAAAACGCTTTAATTCTGTGTTTTTAATATAGAATTCGCCTTTCAATCTATACAATTTTTTTTACTATGGCTATGCATACTCAAGTGCCGGCAGGACATATATTTGTCAATGAGAAATGGAATAACAGTGACTTATTTTCCTATTTATCACGTAAAAAATTAAACTTTATTAAATTGTGTTTTGTTTGGATCATTCTAGAATCGAATTTTATTATATGCTACTTACGGTAATCGTAAAATTCATGTTTATAAATGTAAAAATTAATGGTTTGATGCTAATTATTAAATAGGCTTTCGTTCGAATTTTTAAATTTCGGGATCGATTGATTATCATATAGTCATAAAAGTTTAGATATTGCAATATATGCAGCAATGTAAATGACTCCATGTTCTATTCCTTTGTTATAAAAAAATTTAATTCTTTAAACACAAGATGACTGTCATACATGCGGAAAAATGTAATCAGCGGCATTTAGGAGTGCCGATTAAACTGTCTAAATACATATTTCATACATAGTCTAAAATAGTATGAAACCAAGATGTTTTGAATATAATATATTTTTTATATATATAATTTTCTCATGACTGATGTACATAAAATCTTTACTCGGTAAAATTTTTATAAATATTATGTCTTAGAATATTTCCATTTTATATTCCTTATTTTATAGTAAGTGGAAGATGTTTTGCAATGGAAGTTACAGTTATTCATATCCGTTTCATTGATCGGATAACACATAAATGTATTATTAATAAACACAGATTAGTAAAAGTTTACAATTGGATGCCTCCTGTGTTTTTTTTTTTTTTTTTTTTTTTTTTTACGCCAAGATCGATGCCAGGAAGGCAAAATTTCAATTGGCCACTACACAAAACCAAAATAAGAGGATCAAGAATTGCACAAACTCTGTGTTCATGTACACATCAATATATTTTCACTTAAAAAAACATTAGAGAATTGCACTAACTAGGCGTTGCGTACTGCCTTAACTTTGTTCGTTTACACATCGATCTGTTTTCACTTAAAAAAAATCAGGAAGCTAAAACAAACTTAAAACTATCATGGTAACCAGAAATAGGGTTTTATCGCCAAAACTGAACAAAATTTGTCGCTAATCGAAGGGGCAACCAATTCTACACTACAGCCCACAAATTTAAATCAAAGTGCAAGTAAAATTAAAAAGGAATTCCTAGATAATTTTCTTTGGAGAGTAGAAAATGTTTGATTTCTGGAAGTTATAGTTGTAAAGTAAAGGCACATTAAAGATATGACAGTAAAGAAAATATAAAGGATTTTAGTTACATTGGTATAACAATATCATCTTATGCTTAGTTTGAATGCTCAAAGTATTTGACTAAAGATGGGTTATTTTTGTTCATAAATTGGTTGGCAGAGAGGGCTTGGAGGTTTTTTTTTTTTTTTTTAAATCCAAAGGGGCTTTGTCCCAGAAGGACTATTGTTTTCATTTTGGGTAAAAAACTTTAAAAGGCTGTATCATTTTTCAAGTGGTTGCCACCGAATACTATATTATATTTGAAGAAATTAAATAATTAAGAAACTACATAAATGTATTTATGTTTCTGGCATTGTGATACAACAACGATACCTAGAGCCATCCAATTTTTAATGATGTAATCCTACTGTGAATAAGGGCATCTGAAAGCCCAAATTTATAGTTTGTTTTATTATTGATTTCATATTTTGTAAAACTTTAACGAATTTTTGATTAACAAACTCGGTGATTTGAAAGCGAGCAATGGCAACATTCTACAGGGCAAAAAACCTTTTAATCTCCAATGCGCAGAACTGTGCATCAGAAATTTTAAAGACGCTCATTTTGAAATTATTTTGCAACATTGCTGTTGAACTGAATTTTATGGTTTAAGTGCAAAGAACATGATGTTTACTAAAAAAAAAGTAACACACAAAATGTTAAAAAAAGCCCCTTTGGATGTAATTTAAAATCTGAAACCTTTCAGATTTTTTTTATATATGTTCAGAAATTCTTATTAATCGTTTTCTGGTTATTGAGCTGATATGTTTAATTTCTGTGTTTGTAACTTTGGGATAGTATATACACTTGAAGTATCTATTGTGGCCATTTCCAATTTATCTGATCTTGACAATTTCCAGGTTGGTGGGGCAAAGTTAATGGCAGTTTTATAAACAAATCTTATAAACACGAAGCAGATACTTGGAGAGATCAGGTAATAGTGAAATATTCTGTGTTATTATTTGATGCTTACAAACATATCTGATAGTTCATCAATGAAATTAGCATATCTTTACTGAAATACTTCACTGAACTTCCGCGCTTAATATCTGAAATGAGGCCAAAGTCGTTGCTAAACCCAGGCATAAAAACAGCCTCAAATTAGAGAATTTGAAATCACCATCGAGCTATGCTGCAATGCAACAAAGATCTTCCCTTCAGTTTTCGTTATAATTGGGCATAAATTCAGAGTATAGCAACCCTGTGGCAGCTAATAAAAGATGGCGGATATGATGAAGCCAACCATTCCAGCTGAAAATGGTGAAGCAGGCAGGTCATCTGCAAAAGCTCCTGTGCTTTTATTTATGTTTAAATGAGGTTCCTATATGTTAACTGTCTAACAACTGAATATTTTATCTCATTTTTAACTTCATTTTAACCACATTTGAATTGTTAAGCATGTCTTCAATATTGGAGAAGTTAAACAACAAGAGTCAGTGTAATATTTGTAAATTGTGCAGGCCTAGTTTCGATGTTTTAACTACAGAACCATCGATAGACTAGAGACTAGATCACCTTGAAATCTTGACTAAATCAAATGATGGATATACACTTTACACCACTGCTTATAGTTTTTTTTTTTTTTTTTTTTTTTTTCAATTGTAATCCATTATTTTTTCCCCTTTTGTAAAAAGGTGTTAGAGTGCTTCTAACAGGGTTGTGCAAATACCTAAATACCCCTTTTTTAAGTGTCTAGAAAACTGGGTGCTCAACAATTAATGCAGCCACCTTGCTACAGTTTGCCAATGTTGGACAGAAGGAAAGAATGGCTAGGTTACTTGAATATAGCAAAGTATGGGCATATATGGGCTGTCTGCCTATGGGTAGAGATGCCTTCTTTCTTTTTAAAGGAAACTGTCTTGTATTTATGTTACACATGAAAAAAAGGTCATAAAACAACCATGCAGCCAACCCATTCAAATGGAATCAAACCCTGGTTGAACCGCTACCATTCAGTTGTAGAGGCATTAGGTATTATTTGAAAAATAAGAGATTTGAAAAATGAGCAATGCCCTCACCAGAACTTGAACCACGGGCTCTCAAATCCACCCCGAGCTACACTACGAAGGCATGTTAATGCCTTCGTAGTAAAAAATGGTTGTTTGTTGCCAATAGGAAGAACCAGAACAGCTCCATGCAACCAGCTTATTCATTTGGATATAAATGGAGGTTGAACTAATTGATAATTTTGCACCATTACTGTGGTCATTGAAATATTTTTCTAACATAATTTTTTATGTATTGGGTACTGAATAATTTTTAGTGAGTTTTGCATTATGTATAACATTTTTTAAGTTACTGTATTTAAAAATTGAAGAATTTCCTAAGCTGTGTTGTCTTTATATATCCAATTTATATTCATAATAATAGTAGAAAAGCTAGTTATATTTGCTATTTCTGAGATACTAACATATTAACCATTTTTGGATTTACGGGACCAGACAAGTTGCAATTAATTACAAGGACCCTGCATTCCAAGAGGCCTCCAAATTTAGATGATTTTATTTAAAAAATATAAAAAATATAATCCTTTGTTTTAAGGTGATGTGCACCCAAAAAGTTAGCCCCTAACTTCATAAATCCATCATTATTTCAAGTACTTATTTTCAAATTCATATAAACCAAGTATGTTTTTCATGGTGCATCTTGCATTTTCTATCTTACATTTTGATATATGCAACTGTTTTCCAGCAAACTATAATTTATTTTATATTAATAAAAGAGCAGTCTTTGGGTGTTCCTAATAATTGCATATTCATGGTGTGTCATGTTTTGCTTTATCTGAAACATATTTAATTGATTTTAAATCTATTCAGCTTTTTTTTTTTTTTTTTTTTTTTTTTTTTTAATTTACTTATGTGAAAACTATTTTCTTTTTAGGAAGGGTCCAACCCCTTATTATAGAATCAATGGATTTTGTGGATTTTTTCCCTGCTTCTGACTTTGCTGTTATATATGTAACTGAAGCTGATTTAATTGCTGGGAGTAATTACAAGAGAAATCTCGCAAAACTGAAAAATGTACATAAGCAAAAATTTTGTTTATGCTCTTTTTTTTTCAGATTATTTTTGAATGCTAAGTTTTCATTTTTATTCTCAACATCTACTACAGAATAGTTATATCTTTATTGTATGAGTTGTTTTCAAATTGTTGCTATAAGATAAATGCCAATTGTTATTTAAGGAGAAATTTTCTCATGTCAGAAAAAACAAAATCTATTGATTGAGAGGGGCTGGAAATCACTGCAGTAAATTTTGTGGCTAATCTTTAGAATATGGTAACAGGTAGTTTGGCAACATTTTGGTAAGGCGATAAAGGTTTACTAGCTAGGACTTTACCAGTGTACATGGATAAAGTCAAGAGTGTGTGCAATGCGATTTTTGTGCAATTCTGGAATGTTTTTTTAAGTGAAAATAGGTCAACGTGTACATGGATACGGTGTTGTATGTGCAGTTCTTAAAAACGTGGCAAGCAATGGACGATTCTGCACTTTCTCCCAATTTTGCATCTAATCTTCGTCATGATAAGGCACTTTTGTTCCATAAAAGTTCTAGCATAAGCGTAATTCGGCTAGCAGATTGTTGGAAAAAAATGTTGAGTAAAAAAAAAAAAAAAAAAAAAGCCTTTACTTCGTAAAAACAAAATGGCGTCCAAAAAAAAAAAAAAAACTAGCAGGTTGCTGTAGCAGGGTTGGTCGCCAAAAAATCGCCAAGTTACCATAATCTGAAGATTAACCAATTTTGTTTGTTTGACATTCAAGATTTAAAAAAAAAAAAAAAAAAAAAAAAAATCCATTATTTTTGCTATTTCCAGGGGAAATGGCTGTCGATAAATAATTTAAAAAGCTAATCAATAAACACAAAATTTATTTTTATATTATGGCTATTTTAAGAGTTAAACATTACTCCATTTGTTCTAGAATGTGATAACTCTCTATATATCCAAGATGTTAGTGATTGTGCTAATGGTAATTAAAAGATTGTGGCAAATGATTAATTTTGATGATTTTAATTGAATTTTTTTTTTTTTTTTTTTTTTTTACACAGACAGAATAGGTCAAAACTGAAGATCATTATAAAGGACTAGCCTGAAAATGCATAAAAAATACATCCAAAAAGTCATCCAAAATTTTTTCCGCAAAGTAGAAAACACAATAAATTAAATAATAGAGCATTTTTAAAAATGGAATTTTTTAGTTTTCTCTCTTACTTACTATGTTTACTTTATCTTTCTTCCATGAAAATAACTGTGAAGGGTTGAGGATCCATGATGACTCGCTATAACTAAAATAAATGTTAGAATATTTATAATAAATATAAGTGAATTTTCATGCATGTTGTTAAAAGTATATATTCTTAATGCATAAAAATGAATAGTTTCTTAAAGCAATAAATGTGCATTTTTGTGAAAGGGTATTACAAAAAACTGAAATATTATTGTTCAGAAATAAGACAAAGTATTTGAGGAATGGAATAGACTGAAAATGAAATTATTATAATAAATAGTAATGTCTGAATATGAAAACTTTGTGGTTAATATCTTCAAATTAATAATTGTAATAAATAACATCCAGAATCTTTCTTCCATGAATAAAATTACAGTTCTTTCACATACCTAATTAATAAGACCTAATTAATTACATACCTTATACCTAATTTTTGCTAAATTAATTTTTCAAAAATCAGGAAAGTAGACTGTGAAATTTAAAAAAAGGGTATAATACAGTAATTAAGAATTTAAATAAAATAAATATTTGTCATGATGATTTAACAAATTTTGTTTAGAAAATTAAATATGCCAAAAGAATTAGATTGATTGTGAAGGTATAGAGAGAAGGTCAGATCACATAATATATATATTTAGGTGATTATGATTTCTAATATTTATTTTGTTATCTGGTTTGCTTTCAGGCCACTTATGACCGACATGCTGTTATTGTTGAAAAAACTGCAACCAGCAATCAATATTTTGACAGTTTTCAAAAGTTTGCAGTCTTAGAACTAGGCTTAGGAATAATTCCTGTCTCTGGATTAGATGAATGTTGCCATGCTCTTGTGTCTATGGTATAGTATATAAATTTCTTAATTAATTGTGTATAGGTTGTTTACGTGTTAAAATATTAAGTGTCTTTTGCTTTGTATCTGCTTATAATTGGAATGTAGATACATAAGCATATGTGTATTATTATGAATGCATTTGTAAGGTATGTCCAGAAATTAAAGATATTTCAATTCAGTAACAATATTCAATAGAAAAACTTTTTATTGTACCATCTTATGCTAAAATTAATTATGTTATTTAACTCGGCTTTACATGCGCCGAGCTTCCGAGGCCCGATCAGTTTATTAAAGCTATGTAAACCTTACCCCTTAATACTGAAATGGACCACACCTGGTCTAGCTGAGTGTAAGGTGACCTTTGACACAAAGGAGGCATTTCCGGAATTTTGTTTTATTCTGTTCGGACAAAAAACCATTTTTTGGTTTATTATTATTTTAGGCCGGCGTGAGTAAACGTGTTTCTAATTTTGAGTTTGAATTGCACAACATGGCTCGCAGATTAACATACTATGATGAAGATATGGAACGATTACGTAATTTGCTAGATGAAGTATCGACTGATTATGAATCTATCGAACATGATGATTTATTGTCTGATTGCGATGAAAGGTTTAGTGAACATGATACGTCATCTGAAGAAGAAATCGAATCTGATTAAGAGGATGCTATTGATTCTAATTCAGTTTGTGATTGTTTTATTGGAAAAGATGGGAAGACAATTTGGAAGAAAACAAAATTTCGTCAAAATGTTCGAACTTTATCGCGAAATATTATTTCAAAGTTGCCTGGAAATGTTGGAGTGGCAAAAAACGTAACTTCTCCTCTTGAGTCTTGGAGTTTTTTATTATGGATGAAATATCTTGATACTATCGTCACCTGTACAAATATATATTGACAACTATCAGTGACAACTTCAGAGAGAAATGCGATGCTAAAAAAACAAAACTCTCCGAAATTAAAGCTTTAATTGGATTGCTATATTTATGTGGTATACATAAATCATCTCATGTGCATGTGAAAGATTTATGGCGCACTGATGGAAGGGGGATAGAAATATTTCATAGGACCATGTCTCATAATCGTTTTTTGTTTTTTATGAGATGCATAAGATTTGACGATGTTAGAAACAGGCAAATGAGAAAAGAAATGGACAAACTTGCCCCAATAAGATATGTATTTGGCTCATTTGTGCATAATTGTCAGGAGTTTTACACAGCTGGATCGTATGTTACAATTGACGAAAAACTCAAACCATTTAGAGGACTCTGTTCAATTCGACAGTACATGCGAAAAAATCCAGCTAGGTATGGAATAAAGATTTTCGCTCTTGTTGATGCAAGAGCTTTCTTTACATGTAATTTAGAAGTTTATGCAGGTACTCAGCCCCAAGGCCCATATCATGTAAATAATTCACCAGTTGAAGTCATCAAAAGATTAACAGAAAAGTTAAATTCTGGGAGAAATGTAACAGTCGACAACTGGTATACTAGTTATGAACTTGTAAAGTATCTCCTTCAGAAAAACATTACTCTAGTGGGCACCATAAGAAAGAACAAGAGGGAAATACTGAAAGAGTTTGTGAATAGTAAAAATTTTAAGGTGCATTCATCCTTGTTTGCATTCCAGAAAGACATGACTTTAGTGTTGTATGTTCCTTAAAAAAACAAATTTGTTAACATCTTATCTACAATGCATAAAGACGACGCTATTGACCAAACAACAGGTGAGGCAAAAAAACCTGAAATAATAACATTTTATAATTTGACGAAAGGAAGCTGCCGATGTGGTGGACCAAATATCAGCAGCATATTCAACTGCAAGAATCAGAGCAAAAGATGGCAGATGGTTCTATTCTTTACACTGCTAAATACTGCTGCAATTAATGCTCGAGTATTACTCCAATACTCAAAATATCCATTCTTACAGCAAAGGAAGCGAAGTCAGTTTTTGAGAGATCTTGCAACAGATTTGCTGAAAGACTACACAGCAGAGAAGGGCACTGTACCATGTCTCCCTCGACATTTGCAAGGAAAACTATCTCCCAAGTTGCAAAGAACCTGCTGCTAAAATACAGAAAGTAATTGAGAGAAAAACGTGCTATATTTGCCCAAGCTCAAAGGACCAAAACTCTAAGATAATATGTACAAAATGTGAAAGAAATGTCAGTGGAGATCATTCTGTTTTAACATGTACCAATTGTACATAAAACTTGGTAAGTTTTTTTTAAAAAATTCTATACATTTATTGAATAAAATTAAATATCGTCTTAAATTATATTGTTAGTAAATGCTTAATGGGGTGTTTAATGACCTGCATAAAATATAAATCCAAGCGCTAGCACTTGCGTACGTACAATTAGCTCGAGTAAAGCCGGGTTAATATTGTTATTTTATTACATTTGCTCTGTCATAATTCAGACATTTATTATTAAGTCCAGGAACCAGCCTTTGTATTCATATGTTTTAAAATTCTTCTGCTTGCCATTTTGAACTACAACTTCTTACTTCATGTTATTTCCATCAGTAAATCATTGTCCTGTAAAATGGTTCTTTATGTGAAAAAAACAAATGAAGATTACTAAATGCAATGTCTGAACTATATGGTGGGTGATTCAAGATCTTTCACTTGAATTGTTCTAGAAGTTGTAATATATTCCTTGTGGGCATGAAGATTAATGTGGAACAGGCAGATATCATGTGCTAGCATTCTTCTCTTTTTGTTTTAGATGGCCAATTAAAGTTGTTGCAAGGTTTCATAATGTACATTAGCAGTAATTTTTGCTCCAGAAGATACAAACTGAATGAAAAGAACTTGGTATCTGTTCTAGAAAACTGAAGGTGTAACTTTGTAAGACAGAACAAAATTCTGAATTTCTCTTATCTGAGAAAGATGTTTATAGTATGATACTGAAGAAATTATTGTGTGGCTTCAGATGTTTAGTGGAATCCAGTCCAATAAAGTCTGGGAATTCATTTATTTTCTTCTGTATAGTATGTAAAAATATTGAGCATATAACTTATCCTTTTCAATTTGTACTCTACTGTTTACTTTTCATGTGTACATTTGTGAATCCTTATTTGTCATTCAGGTTTTATGAAATGTCTATGAGATTTGAGTATCTCTGAGGCTTGGGGAAATATTTTGTGAAAGTTTATTATCACATTCCCATTAGTATGATTATTATCTCAGACTGAAGATCATGAAGATTATCTCAGACTGATGATTACATATTATTTCTTTGTTTGTTATGAATACCATCTCTGCCTCTCATAAATTCAAGGTACCACTCTATCTTATGTCGATTCATATTGTCACCATAACTAGCATAAATTTATTTGTGAATTTCCTCTGAGCATTCTCCTGTTGCATTGAGAAATTGTATAAAGACACATATCTCTCATTTTTATAAATTTTCATTGTTACCATTTCAAAACACCTTACATCAGTAAGTATTGGTGTAACCTTTCTTATCAGAAGACAATGGAAAATAAAAAGTCCAGGATCTCTGGCAGTGATATGTGTATTAAATATCATGTATTTAGAAATATCTTAGGTGGGATGTAGTTTAAGCTTATGGTAGAAATGTTACTCTAAGCATCTTATAGATATTCATATGACACAATTTCCAAAAAGCAAAGACTCGTGTTTCTTTTTTTTTTTTTTTTTTTTTTTTTTTTTTTTTTGAGGGGGGGGGATTGCTTCCTAACTATCCCTTTATTGCTTTGCTTTAAAATATGTGTCTGTGAACCTTCATATGTATTTTTCTAGGTTAGCATATTCACATTACCTTTAAGAGGAAAAAAACTGCCTGTAATTTTTATAATAAACTTATAACATAATTTTACAATTTTTTACATACATAACATTCAAAAGAAGGAAGAAAAGACATGAAAATCTATCTGTCTTTGATAATCAAAGCAGCATATTCAGAAAAGCACCAGATACTTCCCAACTCTCCCTCTTTTAATTTGTTAAGGAATTAACCTATTAGATAAAATTTTATTCATATTTTATAATAAAAGGATGTATTCATATTTACATGTACTTTGCACAGCAAAAATGTATGAAAACATGAAAAACTTAAAAAGTGACTTATTATGCATATAAATATGGTATAAGGCCATGAGATGCATGTAGTCTAAGGGTTGTATGCATATTTATTGAGTATTTTATTATTTATTTTTTGGGAAGGAATATACATGCAATGATTCCCCTCCTCCCCTCATTACAGTTTGATTTATGAAATTAAATTTTAAAATTTTTCAGCTGCTTAATTATACTTTCAAAGTATAAATATGAATAGTTTTCTTCTCACCTATTTTAAGAACACGACTCCCTTCAAGGTCCCTTCCCTATTGTTAAGAGATCTTTAATCCCATGTTATAATGTGTTAATTTGCAATCAGATCAGTTTAAGCATTTCTTGTTCTCACCTATTGCCCTACTGTCATTCTGTTTTAACTGTTGTAGGTACGTATGGGAAGTGAAGACAAATCTAATCCATTTATGATGAAGCGGCGTGTTCCACCTTTAGAAACATACCTCTTAAAGACATTGCTAACAGTTCCTTCAGTGGGAGAGACTAAAGCTCAAGCATTGCTTTTAAAATTCAAAAGTAAGTATTTTTGAATATTTCATTCATTCATTGATTTCATATAAATAGTTAACGTTCTAAATCAGAAAATAATGCAAAATGTTATTTTCAATATTTTTTTGTTGAAATTATTAAAACTGTTGCAAAAGCATGATAAAAGTTGTTAAGCAACTAAAAGGATTCTAAAGTTCTTAAACCCTCTAAGCATAATGGGTTTGGCCCTGAAATTTCATAAAATGTTGTGAACAAATGGTATTTTCTTGATTATAATTCCAAAATTACTCTTTCGCATGGACTCCTTTTCTTTCAATCTACATTCAACCCAAAATCGGATTTATCAGGATCTGGTAGAAATTTTTATGTGTACCAAATGAGAAAGCCATCCTTCGTTACAGAATTTTACTTCCAAAAGCCTTGGAGTAGTAGTTCCTGGGAGTAGTGCTAAATTATTTTGACTAACGCATACCATCTAAACAAAAATTGAAAACTTTTAGTACCACCACTATAAAGTACTACTTCTACCACCACCACCACCACCACCACCACTCTTGAACAAAGCTTAGATCGCATAAATTTCCGAGAACCCCTGCCTTAGAGGGTTTAGAAAACAGTTCAGAATTTTGTATTTTTTAAACTTCAGCTCATTAAGATTTTTATACCTTTAACAGCTCACTATTCATTTTTCATTAATGAAATAATATGGAATGGCTGAATAAATACAACATGAAATTTTATTCTTTAGCCTAAACTGTAGAACTTATGAACTGTATCAATGTTACTAAAATTAAAATGAAAGTATAGTACAAAGTCTGTAATCCGGATGTTCATTATCCGGAATGATCTATAATCTGGACCTCAAAGCGACAAACCTTTTTTTTTTTTTTTTTGTATGCTTTATGCATGTGCTTAATGCGTTTACACATGCACGTTTAATGTTGCGCATGCACAATTAATGTTTATGCATGCGTGCTTAGCACAAAAAACGAAGCAACTTAAATAACTTACATTTAAAGAAATGTTTAATAAAGTAAACAAATAAATATTAAGCTTTTTTTTTTGTTTTTTTTTTTTTTTTTTTTTTTTTTTTTTTTTGTAAATTTTGATACCCTTTAGATCATAATTGTTCTTTATTTCACAAATTATGGTTTCATGTTTTTAATTGTATAATATCTGCATGCCATCTTACCATATTTAAACTGATGATCTATAATCCGGAATCGCCGAAGTCCCGACGAGTCCGGATTATGGACTTTGGATTATGGACACAAAACTCTTAATCAGAACCATATATTTCATACCATTATGTAGAATCTTTACAATGTAAATATATAATAAAAATTTTAGGATGTCTTTAATATATTTTTGTGCTGATGTACTTTCCTGTTGACTAAAAGCTGGTGGAGATTCTACTAAACTTGCATCAGACATTCGAGTAGAAGTTTGAGTGAACAGATTATCTTTATTTTTATTTAGGTTGGCAATTAACTGATACAAATGACAAATATAATGTATAAAATGTTCAAATAAATATGAGTTCAAATTTGCACCAGTAGTGCCAGTGGAAGTTTGTAAGGAACAACGTCACCATGTTACCATTTTCAATAAAGTCCATATCAGGCCCATTAAATACTTTTTTATGCCATAATCCTTTAGCTTGGAAAATACTCTACTGGTGCTGTTCTATAAAGGGCAAGTCTTAAATGAATTTTAATTACTTGTTTCAAAATACAAAGAGAAATTAAGAAATTGCAGTTAAATTGTGTCCTTCTTTGCAAAATCTATTGTACTTAATTTCAAAACAGTATTGAGGATTAATTGGGGTTATATAAAGCCAAGGTGACTTTATGAATTTGATTTTTGAAGACTTTATGAATGTGTTGCAATGTCATATTTAATCTATTATGGGTGTTAAATCACTCTATTTTATGATAGTTTTTGTTTCCTGAAAATGGTCATTTGGAAAGTGTGAAAGAACCTATATCTGTATTTGCCCAATTTTCTCCTTTCTTTAATCTTAACTCCATTTAGTGGTAATCCAAGTAGCACATGACGTTGCAAAGTGGTTGTAGTAACGTTTACGGCATTTTAAAGATGTAGCGACAACAAAACATATTTGCCGTTGAATCTTGCCGATTTGTCGATGTCACTGAAACCTCATGATATGACCGCTTTTAGATGTGGTCGTTTTAGCATCTTTTTCATAGTTCATCAGTGTTGCTTTTTAAAATGAAAAGAGACTAAGTCTGCCCTTTCAAGAATCTGAAGTCTGCATAAAATTTATTTTGCAATGTTTCATTACTTTATTTCATCTAAATATATTAATCTAAGGTAGATTCATCTAATGAAATATAAATTTAATATAAATACTTGAATTAATAAATTTAATTAGTACTAAAAATTCATGCTAAATTATTGTTTAAAATTTTGTTAAAATAATTAATACAGTTAATTCCGGCTAATCGGACCACATTGGGAAGTGATCGTTTTAGTCCTAATAACCGGCTGGTCCGATTACACGAACATGTCCTATGTTGTAAGACGGGATGTGTTATATATAGCAAACAATAAATGCACATGTAAATCATGTACTAAAATGTAATTATGAACTTTATGGTGCAGTACACTTTATGGTACAGTTAGTTGTAAATAAAATTTTGACATAAAAAATTAAGAATATAACACAAAACTCTTAATCAGAACCATATATTTCATACCGTTATGTAGAATCTTTACAGTGTAAATATATAATAAAAATTTTAGGATGTCTTTAATATATTTTTGTGCTGATGTACTTTCCTGTTGACTAAAAGCTGGTGGAGATTCTACTAAACTTGCATCAGACATTCGAGTAGAAGTTTGAGTGAACAGATTGTCTTTATTTTTATTTAGATTGGCAATTAACTGATACAAATGACAAATATAATGTATAAAATGTTCAAATAAATATGAGTTCAAATTTGCACCAGTAGTGCCAGTGGAAGTTTGTAAGGAACATACGTCACCATTGTTACCATTTTCAATAAAGTCCCATATCAGGCCCATTAACATACTTTTTTATGCCATAATCCTTTAGCTTTGAAAATACTCTACTGTGTGCTGTTCTATAAAGGGCAAGTCTTAAATGAATTTTAATTACTTGTTTCAAAATACAAAGAGAAAATTAAAGAAATTGCAGTTAAATTGTGTCCTTCTTTGCAAAATCTATTGTACTTAATTTCAAAACAGTATTGAGGATTAATTGGGGTTATATAAAGCCAAGGTGACTTTATGAATTTGATTTTTGAAGACTTTATGAATGTGTTGCAATGTCATATTTAATCTATTATGGGTGTTAAATCACTCTATTTTATGATAGTATATGTAACGTATGGCAAACATACATGTACAAACAAGAAATAAAGTCGAACATTTTTTCATTGAGAAAATTAATTTAGAAACAAATTCTAAGAAACTATCTCCATGATACTCAACATGTGAAGCACAATAAAAACAATTTCTTACCAAGTTCCAGTCAACATTTGAAGAACTTATCCAATGTAATGTGACGCATTCTCTTCACAGATTGAACGTGAACAAAATCTCTACTAACATCTAATGCAGCAATGGGACTGCCTTCATTTCCTTCCTGCATGAAATATCGATGCAGAGTTTCAATGTATTTCCTCACATTCTGTGTTGTCATTTGCACCAATTTATTAGCAACATCATCATCATCACATTCTTGGTCTTCCGATGCTGTCGTGTGTTTTGCTGCAATTTGAGCAACGATTGCAGCATCATAATCATCATTTTCATCGTTGCATTGAAGCTCGTTGTAAATGGATAAAAATCCTTTGCAATTTTGTACCTGTTGAAGTTCCACATGTAAATCATCATTTTCACTTTCAATGATCATGTCCACATCCATCTCCAAAACCAAGTGCTTAAACCAACAGTGAGAAAAACAGTTCTGAATTGTTTCACTGCTCACTTTTCACAGCTGTCGGCCACAAATGTAACTGCTTGTAAGATGTTGACCTTTGCACTGACTTCGCTGGCTTTTGACAATGAGGTCAGCAAACTTTCTTCAATGATATAATTAACCAACCTTGCACGATAAAGGGTCTTCAAATTTTTTATGATGCCCATCCAATGGCTGGACCAAAGCTGTGGTCCTGGGAGGTAGAAACTCCAGATGGATGTTTATCAAGCAATCTAAATGAGGATGTGCTGCACAATTGTCAAGAAGAAGCAGCACTTTTCTCGACTGGCGTATAGCTCTCTATTCCAATCCTTCAGCCATTGTTTAAAAAGTTCAGAGGTCATCCACGCATTTCTGTTCGAACGATACACAACTGGTAAACTCTCCATCCTAAGTCTTTTAAAGCAGCAAGGCTTAGTGCATTTTCCTATAACCAACAGCTTCCTCTTGTCCGTTCCTGACATGTTTGAGCAGCACAAGACAGTTACGCCATCTATCCATTGCTTTTTTGGAGCCAGAGAGTGCAACATGTTTGTAACTTACCGAGCCATCTGGTGTAGCAGGATAATACAGCCCAGTCTCAGCATTCCAGATGTCATCTGCTGAAAAATTTTAAAGAAGCTCAGGCAGTTTTGTTGATTTCCATTCTTCAGCATTTGCACTATCAGCACTTTCTTTCTCGCCATGTGCTTTCTTGAATTTTATGTCATGTCTAGATTTCCATCGAAACAACCAACCGTCCGTAGCTATAAAGTCATCGTGGCCCAGCTTTTTAGTGAGTTCTTCTGCCTTGCATTTTAACATTGGGCCGCTTACTTGCACAGATCGTCCAGTAACAAATGGCAAACCATTCATTAAGGGCCTCAGCAACATCTGGGTCCTTGCCTTCATGCTTCCGTTTTTTTGGAAGGTCTTCCTCGTCCTTCACATTGTGCCCATTCTTCTTGCAGCTCATTATCTTGTTTTATCAAGCCCTAAACTGTAGTCTTTGCCAATCCGGTTATTTCCACCAACCGATGCTATCTGGTGTTTCGTGGTTGTTGCTTGATCTTATCCAGGAAACTAATTTTTTCAGCTAACATCAAGTCCCATCGTGGCATTTTGGCAGGGAAGACAAGACACGCGCACAGTTCACTGATTAAAGTGTTCTGAAGAAACCTTGGTGTTTCGGGTTCAAGATATAGAGGTCAAGAGGGAGATAAAATGCTTGCCATTCAAAGGTTTGGCTCTAAATTTATCCCAGAAAGGGGATGAAATGATAGCTTTCTCGTGTAAACTTTAATCATGATTGGCAGGCGGGAATTCCTTTCAGGTGGAGCCGGACACTCTATTGTTCATTTCTTCGAAACTCGGAGCCACAGGTTAAAGAAAGGTCAAAGAAAATGGTGCGCGTGTTCACCTCCCACCGGTTTTGCATTTGTCATGCACTCTAAGGAATTCATGACCTCCGATAAAGCATTTTCCTGGGAAGCCGCAACTACAGATCCTCCCATATATCGCAGACCACCTGTACATCCGCTATACGCGGCCTACTGTGTTTTTACTGTGTTAAATGTATATAAAATATTTACAGGTGCTTTTGCAACAGATAAGAAAGTCATTTAACTTAAACTGCCCTGTGGCTTGTTTATTATATGTTTGTGGTAAAAGTAAGAAAAAGGTTACTTCATCTTTTTTTCCATTATCCATTGTCTGTATTTTATGTAAACTTTTATTTTTTCAGGTTTGTTAGGTATCTGTAATGCCAGTGTAGAAGAACTGGAAAAAGTTATTGGGACAAATAGTGCTCAGCAAGTTTATAATTTTTTTCGTGGTTTTTGATGTTAATACATGTGTTATAAAACTAAATAAAGTTTTTATTTTTAGAAATTTTGTTACTTCTATTTTTTAACACAAGTCATGTGCAGGGTTTATTGTTATATTAAGATTCTACTCATGATAAAAGCTGGTACTTTTGCAATTATAGCTGTGTTACATGTAATATATTAATACTATAGTGTTTTTTAAAGGGGGAGGGAAGATTACGACATTAAGTGTACAGCATACAAGAAGGATAGGTTTACTGACTAAGAAAGGGGCAAGGGGGGACTGTAATCCATGTAAGAGCTATATAGCAAGCTGTAATAATAATAGTAGTGACAGTTTACAGCAGGGTGCAGGGTTTCTCAAACTGTGGGTCGTGACCTCTAAGGGGATCGCGGGACCTGCAGTAGGGGATCGCCAAAAGTTTTAGCAGTTTTGATATTTTTTTTTAACTTATTACAATAATTTTACAATTGCCAAATATTTTTACACAATATATCTGAAAATAGATCAAAATAAGACGATGCTCAGCAAGTTTACAAAGAAAAAAATGAAAACGTTTCGAAGCATTCTTTTTATAATATAAACGTTCATTTTCCTTGCTTTGCTCATGACGCTGTCATTTCGTCTGCTACTTATTTAAAATTTTCACATTGTTCTATGTCTTAAAATTAAAGTTAATGATTTAAAACTGCAATAGTATATTACAGTACAAGTGAAAAAATTGACAGTTTCACTCACGCATGTGTCGGATTTGCGCAATACTTATGGGGTCTGACAAAATTTTTGTAAATATTATGGGGTCCTGGGAGTCACAAAAAAATATAGGTGATAAAAGGGGGTCACGACTGAAAAAAGTTTAAGAAGCCCTGGTTTACAGGCTTTAATTTAAGATTTGCTGCCTGAGTTGTGACCAAACAATTTTTCAAGCAAAAGTATTCCACGATTTGCACCAGATAGCCATCATTTCAATAAACAGACAATATAAATACAAAAAAAAAAAAAGAAAGACAGAGAGAGAAGTGACGATCTTATTCTTGTATAAGAGTGTCCGTTTGTTTGCATTTCATACATACCTACAGTTTTATTTCGCTCTAGGTGAAATTTGTCACTCATACAAAACAGCAAGCAAATCACTGTGTACATAAAATTTCAAAAAAACATCCCACAAAATCCTATTCTTTATATATATGAGCTCTATTGGAAAGTTCTGTCTGATAATGTTATTTCAAGTTTCAACACACATGCAAGTGTTTATTTGAGGCATGTGTGACTGTCTCTCTTTACCACTGCATTTATAAACATGTGCTGTTCTAAATTTAACTGAAACAAAAGTATCTCATGTTATTATTGAGACCAAGGTCAGATTTATGTATAAGCTATAGCTTAGCACCCCCACTCTCCTGGGGCCCCCAAAAAATTAAAATAGAGTATAAATAGTATTAAAATATGTGACAGAATTATAAAGGGCCCCATATCTCTAATAGCTTAGAGCATTATCAAGTCTAAATCTAGGTCTGAGTGAGACACTATCATGTTAAACATGGCTATTGATAAAATTCATTTACAACACTGTATTTTATACTAATTCCAACAAGGAAAAAACTTTAAAGAAGTGTGTCAGAATTTAGTGACAGTTTTTGGTAGAGCTGCAGTTTCGAATAGAATATACTAGAGAAAGTTCGAAAATTTTGAAGCAGGAGATTTTGACCTTAATGATTACCCATGCTGCAACCTGACACCTTTGATTGATGACGATATTGTCAAGACCATGACAGAGCAGGATCCATTTTTAACTAGATAGGAGATTGCAGAAAAGTACATTTCAGCTCAACAAACCATTTATAACAATATTCGGAAAATAGAACTTGTCTATAAATATTCCAGATTAGTGTCTCATGAGTTAAGTGAGAAAAAATTGCATGATAAAGACATCATATACACAACTCTGCTGGTTTGGAAGAAAGACAAACCCATTTTGGACAGGATGATAATTGGGAATGAAAAGTACACCTATGAAATCACTGTTAGGAAAAGAGCATACTGTGAACCCAAGCAACCTGCCTCCTCTACTTCTAAACCAAGTTTGAGCCTGAATAAGAGAATACTATATGTGTGGTGGGATATCCAAGGACCAATATATTACAAGCCATCGAAGGAAACCTCAGTTCACAAAAGTACTGTCAGCAAATGGACGATTTAAACAAAGCAGTTAAGGAAAAGAGGCTGGCAATGTTCAGTAGGACGCACATCTTATTGCATTATGATAATGCCATACCACATCCTGCTTTGGTGACTTGTCAGAAAATTGCAAGGCTAGGCTAAGAAAATTTGCCACATCCGCCATAATCCCCAGACCTAGCACCCTTCTAAATTTTTTGAAGGGGGAAAAAATCAAAACTTAAGCAGATGTCAGCCAATCCTAGTTGAGTTCTTCGCCTCTAAGGGCAACGATATTTTTAAACATGGTATCTACGTATTACCATAATGCTGGCAAGAGGTCATTAGTATGATGGGAATTATATTGTGCAATAATTGATGTGAGTCTTCGCAACCATACCCCAAGTGGTATATGCGTACATAATTGGTCAAATAAATGAAGTATAGAGAAGAGCTTTGTTTCTGATAGACAGATGCCTCTTTCGAGCTAATAGGGGGGTAAAGTTGGGATCTGATGCTGTTTGCTTTATTGAGAGTATTATCAATGTAAAGATGCCAAAGTAATTTTTAATCAAGTATCACTCCCAGATACTTGAGTTTCACCAGGTCATAGTCGTCAAAGAATTTTAAAATAGTGGAAGGGTAAGGGAATCGGGAGCGTGTGAATATCATGGCAGCACGTATAGCGACATTAATTTTGATTTTCCAAGTAATGAGCCAGTGTTCAAGTCTTGAGAGATAATTCTGAATGTTGTGAACCAGTTTATAGAAGTGTTTGCGCTTGGAGGGTATAGCCGTGTTATCTGCATACAGTGCTAGAGTGACACTGCATGATTTTGGTATGTCATTAATGAAAATTTTGAACAAAAAAAGACAATAAAAGACTACCTTGTGGGACGCCACTTAGGATGAGGCGGAGCATCGAAATGATAGAATTAACTCGTACTGAGAAATAGGGATTAGTGAGATACGAGTTAATTATGTGAATAAGTTGAGCCGAAATATTAAATTACATGATCTTGATTATGATTCCCGTATGCCAAGTCCTATCAAATGCTTTGGCGATGTCATGAAAAAGTACGCCGGTAAGCATTTTGCTATGAAAGCCTTCCTGGATGAGCACCACTGTCCTTAGAAGCTGGTGCGTTGTGCAGTGTTTTGCTCGGAAACCAAAATGTTCTTCAATAAAAACTTCTTGGCTCTGGAGAAAATCATTCAGGCGTTTAAAGTATCACAAATTCTTATATCTTAGATAACGAAAACAGGAGGCTGATGGGTCTGTAATTTTGAGGATTTGATTGGCATAGGCTCTATAAGTGCATGCTTCCAGGTTTGAGGAAAGTGTATTGTTTTATACATGTATATGTCACGAACAGACACTTGTCAGATTGCGCGACACCAGCCTCTCCTTGGTACTTCTCCCCTTGTGACGCATGGTCACCTCCTCTCACCTACCTCCGATGCCTCCTTGGCCCGTCCTGTTTTTACTGTTGTGCTCATACGGCTAATTCTATCATTGAGCAGGACACGTCGCGCTCCACGCGATACCGGTATGACTGACTGTTTGAGGAAAATAGCAATGCAATAACATATTGTTAATTAATATTACTAAGAAAAATAAATAGCTGGTGGGAAGATGTTCATGCGATTAGAAATAGAGTCCAGTCCTGGCGCCTTTTTAGGTTTGGGCTTAGCTGTATATTTGCTAACTTCGCTCAGTGTTGTGTATTTGTAAGTCTCTCCTACATGGAGAGTGGAGAAATTGTTCAACATCATGTTGGAAAGAACGAAAGAACTTGGGGTATTAGGAAAAATTCCTTCATTATGTGGTATGAATTGGCTGTCAGCTAATAATTCAGCATTCTCCATGTCTGTATGGGCCATCACTGCGTCCTTTGATAAGGACGTTTGAAAGTGTAAGATTCAAAATGTGTATTGGGAATGATTTGATTATACCTATTGTTTGCATTAAAAGTTATATATGAATGAATTAAATATATTCTTTAGGAATAAGATAAATGCATTTTGTTTAAAGAGTATTTCTTGTGCAGGCAATACATTTAAGAGTGTACAATACATTTTCCTGAACAGTCCTTGTGCAGGCAATACATTTTCCTGAACATTTAACGCACTAAATGTTCAGGAATGCAATTTAGGAAAATTCACTTTGAATAAAACTACATTGGCTATTATCATAGAACATCTTTTTCATATAGAGTGCAATAAAAATGCAGACTTCTACTATTTAAATAATATAATTATGCTTATATTTGATCTAACTTCACACTGAAAATTTATACAAGAAATCTACGATGCTTTAATTATTTTGTACAGGAAATTGCATGGCAAAACATTTTTAACCATCTTCCTTAACGCGCAGCCAAGGTCATGTGAAATGACTTAAATGTTACTGGTAGCCCAATTGGTCCATTCCAGAAGACACTTACCGTCGGTTCCGATACAGATGGGCACTTCCGAAATATGCTCACGGGACCTTAATAAGAATCTCCTTAAGAGAGAAGTAGTTTAGAGTTGTCTTCCGTTATTGCTATGGAAAGCGTAGGGCTGGATTAACCCTTAAACAATATAAGCACATGCTTAGGTCATCAAGGAAAGGCGGCACAACAAAAATGTCCTTAGGTTTTCAGGAAAGGGGGCACCAAAAAATCTCCCAGTGCCGGCTTTACCACGTAAGGCATGTTGCATCTAAGAGAAGGAATGAAGAAAAAACTGGCATAAGCAATATGTGGGGCCACCAAAATCCTCTAAGTGCTTTGAGTCCTGTAAAGGTCACAGTCCGGCGCTGAGAAGCGAAACTGGTAGAAGGGCAGTCCTTTTGAATTTTTGCAGTTTATCTGTAATGCAATCTCCAGAAATGGTGAATACAAATTAAGTAAATTCAACATCCATAACCAAGTAAATACCGCAAGAGAAGAAGCATTTCGGAAGAGCAGAAGAGGAAGAATGACCTTATTTGTTTGCATTATACGTCATGTGATCTCTCAGGTCATCGGAATGTATCCTATTGAATTAAAATGTGATATATTAAATCAGCATTATCTTCATGTTCTAAAAACTTATTTTACAATAATATATATTAAAATTAGCAAAACGTGGCTGGCAATATTTTAAAAGTTTTTCATTTTCACTTAAACATTTATCTTTTTTATAGTTTCTACTGCTTTCTAAGTATTAATTCAGCAGAAATTAAAGAATTTCTATTTGTAGATCAGTAATTAAGGCAAATCTAGTAAAATAAGCTCGGGAAATCTATGAATGGAAGATCTCGTAAAAAGGTATTTTATTATATGCTGAAAACATTATAACTGTGATATTTCTATTTGCTCATATATTTTATTGGTGAATCGATTGCATATGCGGGAAATAATAAAGAATTAGTATAGTTATAAAATTATTTTTATTATGCTTTCACTCTGCCATAAGTAACGCTTTGATTTGTTCCAACAGAGATTCTCTGTTAATGTTTATTACATTGTAATGGATAAATTAATGGTTCAATATAGCAGTCGGTTTTGGGGTATTTAAAACTATTTTCCTAATAAAGAAATAAGTCATCAAAAGAGTAACCAGGTAATTTTGCTACGGATATTTAACAGTATTTACATCTGCAAATAAGGCTAACTGAGTTTTTGGAAACCTTATGGATGACTGATATATACTGAATAAATAGGGCGAAAATATAGTATTTCCGTAATCGCTACCATTGTGCATTGTAACTGAGTGCATACTATACCAAACGAAACCATTGTGGGCAATACGGTTTCTTCATTAGGATTCATTGAGGATTAATTGGGGTTTTATAAAACCAAGGTGACTTTATGAATTTGATTTTTGAAGACTTTATGAATGTGTGCAATGTCATATTTAATCTATTATGGGTGTTAAATCACTCTATTTTATGATAGTATATGTAACGTATGGCAAACATACATGTACAAACAAGAAATAAAGTCGAACATTTTTTCATTGAGAAAATTAATTTAGAAACAAATTCTAAGAAACTATCTCCATGATACTCAACATGTGAAGCACAATAAAAACAATTTCTTACCAAGTTCCAGTCAACATTTGAAGAACTTATCCAATGTAATCTGACGCATTCCCTTCACGGATTGCACATGAACGAAATCTCTGCAAACATCTAACGCAGCAATGGGACTGCCTTCATTTCCTTCCTGTATGAAATATCGATGCAGAGTTTCAATGCATTTCCTCATATCCTGTGTTGTCATTTGCACCAATTTATTAGCAACATCATCATCATCACATTCTTGGTCTTCCGATGCTGTCGTGTGTTTTGCTGCAATTTGAGCAACGATTGCAGCATCATAATCATCATTTTCATCGTAGCATTGAAGCTCGTTATAAATGGATAAAAATCCTTTGCAATTTTGTACCTGTTGAAGTTCCACATGTAAATCATCATTTTCACTTTCAATGATCATGTCCACATCCATCTCCAAAACCAAGTGCTTAAACCAACAGTGAGAAAAACAGTTCTGAATTGTCTCACTGCTCACTTTTCACCATCTGTCGGCCACAAAACCATTGTGGGCAATACGGTTTCTTCATTAGTCAGCGCTCATTTGCTGGTAATCTCAACTTATCTGTACTCAAAATATACCAGCATTAGCATTTTTCACTTGGTCTCAGCATCCCATTATAAATTAGTATCCCTACAATGTGCATTCCCTTTTAAATTTGGTTCTTCTTTTAGTAACTCGGACTTTGCATTGTCAAATCCTGGACAAAGAACGTCCTGGAGGACTTATGCTAATTTGTTTGTTTATTCCACCGATGCGCAGGCTGATGAGTACCTTACCTTGAAGACGAGCTGTTATGTGCGGACACACACACAAAAAGTAAAGATCTCTGCCATAAAGGTCTTCTGAAAAAGCTGTAATTCCTAACCTTAACTGTAAAGCTTCTGTTAAAAAAAGTAAAATGTAGTTATTTTAAGGCCTAAAAGTTAAATATGATTTATGTATTAAGACTTTATGCTAAAGTCTAGCAAAGACTTTTGCAATATGAAAGAAAATTACTTTTGTTGGAAATTCGTACCATATCTTTCAGTAATAGTATATGGTGTGGGTCCGTCGAATGAAATGCGTTTAAACTTGCGAGACGTTCGTTATGCAAGACATTCATTTTGTGAAGCATGCGATTTTCTTGTGATAATGAAATTATTTAACAGAAATTATTTTTCCCATGTTAGATGTTGTTACTAACTACGGCTTCTGTCGGCATGATGATTACCTCCGTGATAAGTTCTTCCTTGCAGAAAAAGACTTCAAACAATGAAGCAGACATTATTGAGAAGTTAAGGAATTTTGTTGATAGCGTACTCGCTGACAATACAGAGGAATCCAATCCAGAAGAGGCACAGGGTACCTCAAAAGAAATTTCTGACCTAAATGAGGAACAGAATGATCAGATGAATGAAATGAACTCTGATAAGAAATGGAAGAGGGATGATGAAATCGCAATGGCTCACCAAAGGTTAGATCTTTGTGTTTCTTTTATTAACTTTACGCCTTTTTATCACGAAATAACTTTTCCGTAATACGTTTTCTTCAGAAAATCGTGTTTTATTATTCCTGTGAATTCATATGAATAAAATTATCTTATAAGGGTTAAAAACTATGAACCTTTCATCGAAACATTAATTATAAAGGCGATTTAATTTCAGATGAAATACTCTTGTGAATCTATGAATCTTTTCTTTCAAATGCAATGTTTTTCTAAAACTCATTTGACAGTTTGGCTTTCAAACTATATCATTTACCTGACTGGGGGATATTCTATTATATCATTTATCTGATTGTGGGATATTATGTATGTTATATACGCACTTGTACTCTTACATATTCGACTCTGAATATTTGCACGATTCATCAACTACTACATAATTAGTACGTTTGGTTCAATACTTTTTGTAAAAATGTACATTATTTTCAAATTCTTTAATTCTGCACACGATTGTGTATTACAAACTTGAATTTGATAGTTCTGCTTTGTTTATGCAAAGTGTGTACCAAAATCTTATTGAAAGCAAATGCTTGATTGAAGGAACTTTGTATCGATAAACCTATTGAATTTTACTAATGCATGACACCATTTTTTTTTTTTTTTTTTCAAGTTTCTATTTTATTTTTCAAAAAAGACGTTGTTGTGGGAAGAGGGGGGAGTTTTAGCCCTTTTCCCCCCTCTCTTAATTGCGTGTTTTAAAAAATACTTTTTTTTTTTCCCTAAATTGTGGTTCTCCGTACCTTTAATTCTAGTAATTATCAAATCAACGTAAATTGATCTCTTAACGCAGTGGATAAATTGCGTTAAGAGTTGCGTTAGACCTTTCTATATTTAAAGCAACTAATAGATCGGTGTGTTCTTTTAAATCTTTTTCAAAAGTTAAAATCTGTAGATTATGTAAATTGAGTGTAAATGAAATTTTTGAGCTGTAAATAAAAAAATAAAAAAAAAAGCGTTTTAAAGCAGAGAAATTTATGATGTAATATTGTTCGTTGTTGTTGTGACTAATCTCGCTTGTCTGATATCAGAGCAAGCGAACGAAATTCATCGTGGCAAGAAGGCAACATTGCGCCTGTCATTGGCAACAGCATTGGGTACCCTACAGGTGACGGTACGAATTTTCTCAGTACCGCTCCCAATTTTGAAGGAGAGCACCCCGGGGGGGGGAGTGCCCGAGGGTCTGCCACCCTTTCTTTCTCTAACACCAACCTCTCGAGAGGACTTTCTGTTCCCCTCAGATTTATAGTGCCCCCGTGCCCCACAGACACTATACATTTACAAACTTTCCTGCCTTCTCCGATCGATTCAGGTCCCTTCGAAACGTCAGTCAGAGTCACTAGCCACTATTCCGTTTGGGTAGCGATTATGATCCATACACTCTTCAAGGAATATTTATTAGCACATATGATGATAAACATTTTAAAGTAATTTTTTAAGTTTATTTTATATTTAAAGCTTTATAATAAACACTTTATAAAGTATTTATTATAAAGATCTTTCTAGTATATTTACAGAATTTTGTAGTTAACGAAGAAGAGTTTTATAATAATAAACAGGGTACTTTTTACCATTGCAATAAATAAATTATTCTCAAAAATTAAATAAACTAATAAACGGAATGCAGCATGCACTTTTTGAGCATATTTCAGTGTGATCATATATTTATGAAATCCCTTTTTTTCTTAAATCGGAGGAGATTTTTTTTTCATTAAATGATATTTATGTAAAACCAATAAGTAAGACTTGATATGAAAGTGATTATCTCTTTTGCAGAAAAAATGGCAATATACTATCTTCTCTCTATCCCTGTGATCGATTTGATGAGAATCGTCGACTGTGTACTAGCATTCGACAGATCGGTACGACACTCACTTTTGGAGTGCAAGTACTACTCACACAATCACCAGAGAAGTATCAAATTCGTTGGTTTCGTGTCTTCAAAACACGCTATTCCGGAGCGGATGTAAAAGAAGAGTTTAAAAGTACGTCTGCTGAAAATCATTTTTATTTTGAGTTGCAAAGCAGTAAAAAAAAAATCTAATTTATAGCAGTTTTTGTTAGATGTAAATGGAACTTTTTCACTCATTTATGGCTTATTTTGATGAAACGAATAAGAATTGATGTTTATATTATCTAATATGTACTACATGTACACTATATAGATTAATATGTACTAAGCGCCTAAACTCACAAGCAGCCCACAGTTTACAACGGGGAACTGGTAATAGCATGCTTTATTTATAGTGTGGCATATACACTGACTACCAATAAGTATTTGGACACCTGTGATAGAAAAGAAAAACTAACTTTATTCAAAATCAATAGTTGGTAGAGCCTCCACGAGAGGTAATTACAGCGTGGACCCTCCGGGACATACTTTCCAAAAGTCTTTGTATGACAGCTAGTGGTATTTTCTTCCACTCGGCTTGGAGAAGACATAGAAGTTCCTTCACGATTTTGCACGGGTAGTGCACAACTGAATTCGGCGATGCAACTCGTCCCAGAGGTTCTCGATAGGGTTCAGGTCTGGACTCTGGGCAGGCCAGTCCATTCGATGAACTCCATTGGGCACCATACCAAGCCTTGTTAACGTCGAAACATGACAACTGGCATTGTCGTCCTGAAAGTAACAGGGATCCAACCCGTAAAACTGCCACAACGTAGGAAGCACATTCCATCCAAAATAGTGCAGTAGGCATTGGAGTTGAGCTTACCATGAAAATGGAGACCAAGGTCCCAGCCCATAACCAGGAGAAACACCCCCAGACCATAATTCCACCTCCGCCGAACTTGACTGTTGGCACAATGCATTCTGGCAGGAGACGTTCTCCAGGTAAGATGTCAGACCCAGACCCTGGCCATCCGAACGGTAAAAGGGTTGAACCTTGATTCGTCACTCCAAAGAACCCCGTTTCCATTGATTTACGGTCCAATTTCGATGTTGCTTTGCACCACATTAACCGAACAGCGCGGTTTGAACTTTGTGATTAAAGGCTTATGGCAGCAGCCATGACCATGAAAAACCAAGCAGATGTGCTTCCTTACGGATGGTATTCATTGAAACAATACTCCCGGATGCCTGTTGAAACTCCTCCTCCTCGGATGAGGGCCATCGGTTGGGTGCGGTTCTTCCGAATTTCTCTGGACAGCACTGTTCGGTCTCTATCTCCCAGTTTCGTTGGTCTGCCGAGTCGGAGCACATTCCGACAATCACTGCTCACCTTCCACTGCTTAATCACATAGGCCCCTGTCGATTTTGGGTACTTCAGATCGCTAGATTTGTCCCTTAAGGATAGGCCACATTTGTGATACCCGATAATTATACCTTTCTCAAAATCAGAGAGCTCCGAACTGCGCTTCATCTTGCATGCGACTAAAGCCGATGCTGTTTCCTACACGATATATACCGGAGTGCGTGACGTACCTTAGGACCGCAGATATCGTCATTTGCATAGGTGCCCAAATACTTATTGGTAGTCAGTGTACATGCAAATAGAGCCTTTTTATCGCATTGTCCATTTCGCTCAAAAGAGTAACAATCCTTTTTTTTTTTTTTTTTCGTTTTCTTTTTTTCTTAACGTAATATGTACCATATAGATTAATATGTACTGCTTGTATATCTTGCACAAAAAAGGGGGGCAGTTCTATATCTCTCGTTTTGCTGAGCCAGTTGACGAAATTTAACTTCCGTTTTTCAGGTCTCGAAATCGCGACTTAGGATATGTATTAGATTTATTTATAGCATTGTTCTAACATAGGTATTCTTACACAAAAATCGTTTCAGAAAAAATCCGAAAAAATTTTACGTTTTTTGCCGTATTTCGACTCTGCGACTTAAATTATGCCAAAGAGACAAGTTTTGTAAAAATCTACGAGTAGTGTTTTCTAGAATTAGCTCTCAAAATTTTAACTCCTCAATGTTAATTGAATTTCGTGGCTATTTATTAATATCTCCTTTTTTATGAAACTTACTTGGTTCCTTCTTTAACAGTTCGAAATTTAGGTTCGATCTGAATAAAATTCACAGATATTTTCTGATTTATTTTTTAAATTTGTATTTTTTAGCAACTTTTATAAATTTTTCGGAAAAAGTTTGAATTGTAACTCATAAAATTTTACCATCATCTGAAATTGGATGAATTTCTAGACATGTCTGCAAAAAATTAGAGTTTTTAGTCCAATGGGGCTTTGTCCCTGATGGATTATTATTTTCGTTTTGCGATTTTGCGTTTAATCACTTTAAATGTCCGTTTCACTTTTCAAACTGTTGCCACCAAAGTTAGAGTCCTGCATTATGTTTGAAGAAATTAAATAATGAAAAATCTGCATAAATGTATGCATATTTCTCGCATTGGGGTAAAACAACGGTACATAGAGCCATCGAATTTTGAATGACTTAATCCTCCTACGAATATGGGCATGTGGAAGATCAAATTTGAAAATTTTTTTATGATCGATTTCACATTTTGTAAAAACTTTTAACGAATTTTTGAGTAACAAACTCAACGATTTAAAAAAAGCGAGCAATGGCAACACTCTACGTGAAAACAAAAAGAAACCTTTTTATCTACAGCGCGCGGAACTGTGTATCGGAAATCTTAAAGATATGCTCATTTAAAAATTATTTTGCGACATTGCTATTGAACTGAAATTTATGGTCAAGTGAAAAGAACGTGATATTTAATAAATAAAGGTAACACACGAAACGTTTAAAAAAAAAAAAAATCTGAAATGTTTCAGATTTTAAATTACGTCCAAAGGGGCGTTTTTTAACATTTTGTGTGTTACCTTTCTTTATTAAATATCATGTTCCTCGCACTTAAACCATAAGATCCAGTGCAACAGCAATATCGCAAAATAGTTTTAAAACGAGCATATCTTTAGAATTTCCGATACAGAGACTCACGCGCTGGAGATAAAAATGTTTTTTTTTTGCACAACGTTGCCATTGCTCGCTTTGAAATCCTTGAGTTTGTTAATCAAAATTCGTCAAAGTTTTAAAAAATAGGAAATCGATCATAAAACAAATTTCAAATTTGGTCTTCCACATGCTCATATTCGTTGGAGGATTACGTTATTCAAAATTCGATGACTCTATGTACCGTTGTTTTATCACAATACGAGAAATATACATACATTTATGCAGATTTTTCATTATTTAATTTCTTCAAATATAATGCAGGACTCTAACATTTTGTGGCAACAGTTTGAAAAGTGAACCGACATTTATGAGTCCACAAAACGAAACTAATAGTCCTTCGGGATTCAAATCCCTTTGGACTAAAAAAAAAAAAAAAAAAAAAAAAAAAAAAAAAAAAAAAAAAAAAAAAAAACCCGCCCTTTTGGACGTAATTTAAAATCTGAAACCTTTCAGATTTTTTTAAATCTAAAATTTCAAAGATATGTATAAATTTTATGTATTGGCGAGTTTTGAAATGTGGCATATTTGTTATAAGCGATAATAATGCCAAATTTGCTTTATGAACTTAAAATTATTTGAAAGATTGAAGGATGTGCCTTTTATTCGTTTCTGCATAATGAGAAAAGGGAAAGGAAAACACGTTACTAGAAATTAAGAATTTAGCCAATTCTTAAATGCTAAAACTAAAAAAAGTGCTAAGGAAAGTTTGAAAGTTTTTAACTAAATTTTACAAAATTTAATATTTGTGCTCAATTTGAATCGCAGAATGGAAATATGGTAAAAGCTCGGTATGTCATTCCAAAAAACGTCCGATTTTGTATCAAAATATCTGTGTTAGAGCAATATATAAATATGGTATATATCCTAAGCCACGCTTTCGAGAATGAAAAACGCAAGTTAAATTTCGTCAATTGGCCCAATTTAGAACGGCAGAGAATTTATAGAGACTGTCTTTTTTTGTTGTTATTGCTGTTGTTGTTGTATATGTATGTGTATGTGTGCAGAGGGAACGAATTTGAAGTGCAGAGGGAACGAAGTACTAATCCCGCAAATTCCATAAGCAGCAAACATCTCACAAACGGTATTTGCTAATAGGTACTACTGCAAGGTACTCGTATGTAGTATAAATTTATAAATTTCGATGTGAGCAGCATGCTGGCAGTATAGCTGGCTTGCAGTATGCTGGAGCATAGACTTCTTCTAATAACGGGCAGTTAAGGTTATTGGAAACAGTATAATTGATGGAAGTACTAAGTTAGTAATAATTGAAGGAAGTAATAAACAACTGAAGTGGAGCAACGTGCCGTTGCCTCAATTACAGAAATTTTTACAACTGGCAGATTATATACTCACTATGTGAAGCCAGACATTAGAACATAATTAAAAATGAATTTATTTTGTTTCCTGATAGAAATATATATTATCGTATTTTATTACCTACTACTAAATGTTTCGGTATGAATAATATTAGATAGATAATTTTATTTTCATTTTTACTATTATATGCGTCGTATGTGTTTTGCTGCAAATACGCGATTCAGAAAATACGCGAAGCCTAGAAGGCAAAGTAAAAAAAATAAATAAATAAATGGAGATTGCAATTACCCATTAAAAATGGACGCTAAAAATTAATGCAAAACATCGAAGGACCAGGTAAAATTTTAACTCTTCGCCAGGGAGTAGACCGCAATTTTACTCAATTAAAGGCTTTTCTGATTGTATTTCTCAAAGAATCAAAATGATTTTAAAAAATATTCTTAAAAAAAAAAAAAAAAAAAAAAAAAAAACTGAAATGTTTCAGATTTTAAATTATGTCCAGTTTTTAACGTTTTGTGTGTTATCTTTATTTATTAAATATCAAGTTCTTTGCACTTAAACCATAAAATTTAGTTCAATAACAATATCGTAAAATAATTTTAAAATGAGCCTTTCTTTAGAATTTCCGATACACAGTCTCGCGCGCTGGAGATAAAAATGTTTTTTCTGTATAACATTGCCATTGCTCGCTTTGAAATCCCTGAGTTTGTTAATCAAAAATTCGTTAAAGTTTTACAAAATATG